AAGGAGTGGCTCCTGGTATGTTCTCCGGTCAAAGCTGTTTTATGGAACTTTATATCTTGCCAGGGTCATGTTCGAAACGTTCACGTGGTTCCGAGTCTCTGCTGTCTTCCACTCCGGGAGATTGCAGACCTGTCGCGGATCTCTGCTTTGTCTTTGCTCTCTGGAGTGATGATAGTTGGTTCCATGACATTTACTGGCTTCTTAGCATGCTATTTAGACTTAGTTGTTTGACGTTTTTCAGAGTCAGGTATGCAAGGTTTACTAAAGCCTAGTCCAGTTACCTAGACGCCGAAAGCCTCAGAACGGACACGCATCTCGTTCTATGTGACTTCCGTCAGTGAGTGGATCGCCAAACTGGGTATAACCTACGGCCTGCATGGTTCCGTGGGTGGCACCGAGAGCGCTTCACTCCTGTTTCTCTCATCTGAAGTTGACCAAGAGTCAAGGGGTCGGTAGTTTTCAGGCTGGGTCCGCCAGCTTTGGTGGTGGAAGAACCTGGAGATGCTCGCTTCACCCTGCTTGGTGTAGTTTTTTCTAAGTCGCTGTCAGCAAGTCTAGTGGGTAGCCTATGCGATTGTCGTGGAACGTTCTCAATCTTTTGCACAGCAACCTGTGTCAGTGGATGCTGTGTCGTTATCACTGTCACAGCTGTCGACTTTGACCTTCAACGACAGTTTCTTAGTTACCGTATTTAGAAGCGTTTTTGCTTCTTCTGCTAGAGTGAGAATATCCAAGCAATACAACATGCGAAGCCAGACACTTCCAGCTTTCTGTGCTTCTTACATGCCAAGGGTGAGAAGCTTGTGCAATTGCCTTAGAATTAACTCTTACATTCGCTACACTGCATACCAGAGGGTACTGGGAAGTGACACCCAGCCCTACCACGAGCATTTAACGACGCCTTTGGTTCACCATATAGCAGAATCTAGAGCAATCCACCCAGTAGAACAATGTTTCGGTTAGGGCAAAAACACAACAGCTTTTGATGTGCAAACACGAAAAATGCCAAGAATCTAGGTAGACGTAGGAAGTGCCTCCCTTTTTCAAACAGTGCACGGGCGTAGTAAGAAAAGATGGAGAAGTACTTTACGAAATACCAGTTAGTCCAGAAATCTGGAACAGACGTGTAAATCAGTTAAGACTAAGACGTCATAACTACGGTATAAATGACACTCTTCAGCTCACCACTCGATATATTACTAGGCAATCCATCAACAGGTGACTTGCTAAAATCCTGCTGTTCCACCACAGCGCTGAAGGACTCGGTCAAGGAAACTCGTGATGAAGCTATCAGTGGGCCTGATTAACCCTTCTACTTAGTTTTCTAGAAGAGGGGGTGTTATGGGGTGCGCTAATATCCTCCGGATCTCCCAAAGAAGCCTAGAAGTCCCTGAAAAGCCCTCACAGTCGACCATAGCATGCAGAACGTTCGAGAAAAACCATGTGATCCCGAGTGTGGGACTCACATGGGTTAAAGGCAGCCCCAGAAAAGTGTAGAACATTCCAAATCTATCAGCAGATGTATGTGAACCGTTAATTTTTTTACACATTAGACCGGACAATAAATCTTCTTGTCTACTTTTGAGGAGCCTAGCGCTCACCATGGGTGAAGTCCAAGGTTATTGTTCAAGAGTCGCTTCCATACAGCTATGCATGTATCTACATTTAAAACGAGGATACTGCCTAGGATGACTGAGCAGTGGTCTAAATCAAGTCTTGTGAAGCAGGAGTTTTGCTTCATGTCCATATAGTTTGTAGATTATACAGCCCAAAGGAATTCTTGACCCCCGGATCCCGTCAGTGAATGTTCAGTCGACGACACTTTGGAGCTTGATTTGGTTTCTTAGACTACAAGCATCGTCGCATGTAAGCCGTTGGTGCACCGAAGCGCACTGAGACACACTCGCCGATGTTGAATCGCAGCCTCCACACGCGGATCAGTTGGTTACCTGATCCAGTTCCTTCTGTCCCCCTGTTTTAAAGTAGTTTAGGTCATCAACTTGGAAGGCGTAGACTACCTTCCAATATCCAATATTGATGGTGCGAGCGTAGAAAACTAGTAGTTTTTGATCTCTCGCGTCTAGTTCTTAGGGCTTGGTTCGAGCTGTTCGGTTCACTCCTGCAGTGGACGAGGAAATCCCCTCTGCTTTCTTGCTTTTAGCTTCAGTGAGGTGGATGTTTTGTGGGTCAGTGAGTTGTAATTTGTAGAGTGATTAGGGAGCTACGGGTTGCTGGGAGGTTTAGAGAACTGCCATGACTCCTGTCTGTGTAGGTACCTGAAAGAGAATAGTAAGGTAGTGGTAAAGGAATGAAGAGAGAATAAAAAAAGAGGAAAATAATAATAATAATATAGGGAAGAGAAAAGGGAAGAAGAAAAGAGAATGAAAGAAAAGTATTTGGGAATTGCCCGAATGGTCGCGTGGGTTTGGTTCCAAAAGAAGAATTAGTAGGTAATGTGGGTGTATTAAGGAGGGAGATGGTGAGTGGTGGTTAGGAGGGAGTTGGGGGGGTACTGAGGTTGGTGACTACCTGAGTGCGTCCGTGGTAGTCCATGTGAGGTGACATGACTGCCTAATCGCCTCTTGAATGAGTCGACTGAAGGAGCTATAACGATGTGTCGCGGTAAGGCATTCCATTAAGCACATACTCTTAAGGTCATCGCAAAACAAAACGGCTTGCCATATGAGAAACAGCTCCAGAGGTCGCTGATATGCAGCTAGAACTATGGGCAGAACGCTTTGAAGCACAGTCTAGCTGGCCCACTGCGAACTTTCAGTCACCCGGCATCCAGCCGCGACTTGTTTGGGATGTAAATGTTGTTCTCCCAACTCTCCTCAAAGTTGAGGAAGCGATACTGAACCTGAGTCGATATGAAGCAACAGGACCTGACAGTTTGTCGCCCGAAGTTTTCAAGGATTGGGGTAAGAAATTGATGAACAGATGTACTAGGTGTTGGAATCAAAGGCGGTTTCGCCTGACTGATCCACTCCATTGATCATCACAGTCTTTAAGAAGTAAGAGAAATCTTCCTGTGACAACCATAGGGAACTTAGTTTGGTTAATATTGCCCAAGGTTCTAAGGTCAATTGTTATCCCAGGCCTAACTGCAGTTCGATAACGTCAAACTGGCGAAAAACAGGTAGGTTTTAGACCTAAACGAGAGTGCATCGGTCTTGTTGTCATCCTTCAACAGGTCCTTGAACATAGCTCACTGACACTTGCCATATGTCTAAACCTGAAGACAGCACTTAACTCCGTCGTCTGTGAGGCGTTGTGGTAGTGTCTGACTGGAAGGAGAGTATCAAAGAAGTATATAACTTTAATCGAAGCTCTCCACTCGGAGTCATGCAGCCGTGCACGGGCCTATTGAGACTCTTTATTCGAATTGACGACAACCAGTGGTGTCCGTCAAGGATGCCTACTGCCTACTACGTTGTTGACCTATTGATGACATAAACTTAGGAGTTTCTGACTTTTCAGGGATTGATCGATCCTCTGGAGGCTTTTTGGTTGGCTTGGAGTATGCAGACGATATTGTCCTGATAGGTGAAGATACTGACAAACTTCTGGGTCGGGAAACTGAATAAGTCTCTCCTTCGTTTCTCACCTGTCGAATATAATTCATACTGAAGTTAGTCCTGACGATGTCATCCAGAAAGACGATGAAATCTTCACGATTAAACAACCCATCTTAGAGAACACAATACAACCATGACCATATTTGTTCAAGGATAACTCGAGCATCCAACGGGTTGGAATGATTGCGACAAGTTCAAAAGGAGGAATTTTAAGCAATATATTTGTTGAAAAATGTTCGGTAGCCTAGAATTAAAGGACGCCATTAACATCCCTGTGTTTACTGGAAAAAATGTGTTTGGTTGAAGCAACACTCTCGAGAAAATCATTCGAAGGTCTTCATTTTTCTCACTGTCACCAACACAGAGTTGATTATGATGAAGAATCTGTATTCTGAATGTTGGCACACGCGTATCTTGTATACATGTGGATTGGCATTAGTAATTTGTAAGTTTTTCATTATGAAGCTTTCAGCCGAGTATTTGAGGCCAAAGTTTTTGGTTATTATCACTGGTTTTGTAACTGGTGAACCTTTGTAAGGCGTAGGCTGCTAGAATTCCCACCTATTCTTAGGTATACGCAGTTGCTTGAATTAGGGTTCAAGGACAAATTATCACATTGCTATGTTAGCTATTTTGTTCGTGAAGTTGGGCAATGTGTTTGAATCGAAAAAAAGCAAAATGCATTTGAAGTGAACAGCGAATGGAGTGTAGGAACTTTGTCCCCTCAAAACATCATCCGAGAGATACCCATGACCTTTTGAATAATAATACTGAGGATAGTGATAATATTTTTCTTGTGAACAGTTACCGTTAATCCGAGCATTTTCATTATAATCGGATTGTCTGAAAATAGGGTGAGAAATGGAAACTACTTTGCCTAACTTATAGCTGCGCCTACGCTGGTCCAGTCAGTTTACAATCAGGATGCTTCAAATCTAACGATGTGATCTGATATGATCAGTCTCACGGTTTGTTATTCATTTTTGTTGGTCTCTAGTCAGTCAGTTAGTCACCTACCGATTCCGGTCTTCGAACAAGGTGCAGAAGTGAACTGGCTGAGTAGATGATTGTGGCCCCTGAGACGATAGAAATTAGCTGTGGTTGATGATTCTACGTGGAATGGAATCGAATCTAGAATCCCCCCAGGTACTTTGCGCACATCCTACCTTGCTGCAGTGGTGCTCAAACCTGTGATTTATCTGTTGAAAGTCACCTTCCCAGATCAGTGACCAAGCCACAAGTCCACAGGTGAAATGAATTACAATCCCATAGACTTTTCACTATTTAACGTCTCCCCTGAGGCATTTCAGTGTTTTTAATAAGCGTGATTTCTAGTTTCCTTCTCCTTCCCCTCCCTATACCTTCCATACACGTTTGTTTATCTACTTTGATATGAGTCTTTCTCTCTCGACTTCTTCTTGCATGCGTACTACTACTACTACTACTGCTGCTGCTGCTGCTGCTACTACTACTACTACTACTACTACTACTACTACTACTACTACTTCTACTACTACTACTACTACTACTACTACTACTACTACTACTACTACTACTACTACTACTACTACTACTACTACTACTACTACTACTACTACTACTACTACTACTAATAATAATAATAATAATAATAATAATACTAATAATAATAATAATAATACTACTACTACTACTAATAATACTACTACTACTACTACTAATAATAATAATAATAATAATACTAATACTACTACTACTACTACTAATAATAATAATACTACTACTACTACTACTAATAATAATAATACTAATACTACTACTACTAATAATAATAATAATAATAATACTACTACTAATAATAATAATACTACTAATAATACTACTACTACTACTACTAATACTACTACTACTACTACTACTACTACCACTACCACTACTACTACTACTACTACCACTGCCACTACTACTACTGACACTACTACTGCTAAAATGAAGTGTGCAGCCAACTGCTTGCACTGATCAATGCACTTGTGTGCTACGTTTCACATTGATTTTGTCTGCCTACTCATCTGGCTGGAAATATCCTTCCTTCCTATAAACGGTTGGTGGATGTTCAGCATGGTGAATTCATTCTATCATAATACAATAGAAACAAAAGATTACTTACCAGCTCTTTGAGTTAGTCAATTTTATCGATAGCGCTGGATGTGTTGTAGGCACGCGGCATATTATCTGTGTTGGTTGATCACTAATGGATAAAATTTGTGAACCTAGTCTGTTCCGATTCATGTATCAAAGGCTGGTGGGGAGTGGCAGTTTACGCAATAGTCGGATTACTTTTGCGCAACCATTTGGCAACTGAGTTTTTCAAGTTGATTTCAAATCAGCTTCCAAGTAAGACAACCTGCTCGAGTGAGTGAGTGATTGAGTTGCAGAGTGAGTGAGAGGGAAGTAAATGGAACAATATCTGAATGAATATACAACTCCGTATGGGATGTCGTACAGTAGGTCGTCTGTCATAGAGTAGTAAATCATTGGTTGTCAACAGAGCTATCCAAATTCGTGATCTCCAGGTTTTGTTGTTCCTATACTGCTAGGGTGAAGGTTGTTTTGGATGTTTATGTCTTAAGGCTACTGAAATGGTAATATTTGAGTAATAGTATATCTGATGACTGTTGAGGTGGTTGAATTTGAGAGTTTTCGTCTCTGAAGTTGCTTTTTTGTCGAGATTTGAGGATGCGCTTCAATGTTGCATTGTTCAATGTTGTTTTAGATTGCCACCAATTCAACTGCCTGCACCAACTACTCGAAATCTGTGGGCTCCTAAGAGAATAACGGATGCTTTTCTTCACCATCTGTCTGTCGTTAACTGTATCATTCCACCACTCCTCTTTCTTTTCGTTTCAACTTGTTATCTCGTTTAGTTTTTACCATAATATAGCCTTGTTTTTATTAACCTTTGCACATCCTGGATTCCATTGGTAACCATTATTCATCATTACTATATCTGTCTGTTTGATCGTCCGTCTGATTCTCTTGGTCTTATATTCGCAGAAATATTCCTAGACCACTTTGACAGTATGTAGATGATACTTTCGTTACCATATGTGAGAGTGAAGTCCATGCTGTGAACTTACTCAAATCTTTCAGTTCAGTACATTCAGACATGAAATTCACTTATGAACATGAAATATTAGATGGAATAAATTTCTTGAATTGGAGTATTAAAAAAAATGAAGACAGTTCTATACCACACAAAACTTATCACAGGCCTACTTGAACTAGTCAGGTTTCTACCCAATCATTTATAAAAGAAGTCACGTCAAAACTCTATTTTTAAGGGCTACCAGACTATGCTTCAAGGAAAGTCATCGAAAATGAACTGGATAATATACAGAAAACTTTGTTAGATAATGAATATTCCATCATCGTCATCAGTTTCAACATTACTGCATTACTGCGTAACAGTCCGACTTCGCACCACACCTCATATCAGTACATCAAGTAGACAGGGAGTGAGGTGAAGGATTAAGGTAAGAGAATGCAGTCAAAAGAAATATAAAGTACGAAAAGAGAGAGAGAGAGAGAGAGAAAGGAAGAATGAGAAGGTGATGAGATTCGGTATAGCGTCATTAAGATGAGGATGTGTGTGGGGATACATCTGCGCCACTGACATCGGTTCTCACCCATATCACCTACAGTATCCAACCACCAGTGGTTCCTCTTGTCCCACTAACCCCAACCACCTAGTCTGCATCGCCCCACATAGCTCAATCCAACAGTCAGAGACTTCATACATTGGTGCCATGTTTTAGTCTGGCCACCTCGGGCCTTTTTCAGTCCTGAACCTACTTCAGCCAACGATGTGTGACGAGACAATCAGCGACTAGGTACACGTAACACGTGTATAGCAGCACTGTACAGTGTTAAGATGAGGATAATGCGTGTGTGCATACAACTGCGCCACTGACATCGGTTCTCAGCCATACCATCACCTAGAGTATCCAGACGGATATCCCATAAAGTTAATCAATATACACTTTAAACCATAAAATGAGAAAGTGAACGATACAACCGTACTAAAAAAGAACCTATCCACTAGGCTACCATTCGAAAGGGATGAACAGATTTTACGCAATAATCGTTAACTGAATGCATGTATTGCATTAGCTTATCCAGTTGCAAAATTAGCAGTTGTTTATGACATAATGACAGCAGCATGTACGTCGGAAGAACGGAGAGGGTCCTTATTAAACGAATCTCTGAAAATGTACTGAAGACCCTGTCATTGAGAGGTATAAAGCTACCAAGCAGCACTATTGTCAAGCGCATCCTCGAAATGAATTTGGCCCACGGTAATAATTTTTTTAACTTATATTTTCTACTCCTTCCCCCTCACTTCCTGTGTCACTTGTTGTCCAATCAAAATGAACGAGGGAACATCCTATGAGATCGATAGCACAAAATCGAAAAGTACTATAAAAGGGAGCAAAGATTTGCTTTATTTTCATGATGAGCGACAATACCGTGTAAAATGTTGTAACCAAAATCGAATCAGTCTTTATGCAACGTTTTTGTTTCGTCGTGTTATCGTCCTTACAGTCTTTGAAGGTCACCCTAAATGAGTATGAGAAGCAGACGTATACACACTGCGTCATGCGAGATTCACATTTGCAAGGTGATCGAAGAGCCTACTTCAAGTCTGTTTGCTTTAAGGCTAGGGAACGCCGTTCAATAGATGATGTACTGACAAGGAGGTCAGTTCTGAATCAGCCAATCATTTTTCACTTCCAATTTCTTTCTTCCACCCTAAATAAATTAAGGGGGAGAAGTGTGCCGACTAATATAAAACAACCCACTACCTCGATACAGGTTATACTATCGACTCATACATAGCTTTTAAGGTAATTAATAGACAAAGAAACAGTAGATTGCTACGTTATCCAGAAGACAGCAATCCGTCGACTGAAACCAGACTTATCTGCACAAAAGGAGTTTATGGTTCTACTTGCATTGCACTAGTGAGTTGTTCTTTTCCTACAGGTTTATTTACTACCTCATTCTTTCATCTTTTCCTCTTACATAGTATAATTCTCAAACATTATTCATATTCGCATCATTTTCAATTCACTTTAACCCATTTTATCTTTATAATGTTTGTTAGCACATCCTTCACCATTCCTCTACCATCTTGAGCTGTAATCATATTCCTGTACTACTATCACGTTGTATTTTGCTTTGTTTACTGATCGATTTTAATATCTGACTTGCTGTGACTTGCTCCGTGTATTATTTGTCATTATTATTATTATTTTTCCCTTGGGTTCCTAGTGGAATTTAGGGCTTCAGTAGCACGCCACCATTGCACTCTCTTCTCTCCAGTCTTTCCAACCTGGCTCCACAACTGCCTACAAGCTTTCATTTCTTCTTCACATATACTCCTCCATGCCACCCTCAGACGCCTAATCGTCGTTTCCTATCTGGGTTCCACTCGAGCAACTGGTCTGGCGCATGATGTTCCTTCTATAGGTTGGTTAAATCGTGTACTTTATTATTCATCTATGTTCCCATACGTTTAAAGTATGTACTTGGTGTTGTTTACTACTGAAATATATCAAATGATCTTTACCGCTGGACAGTGATAGCTTACTGTAGAAAATGCTCAGATTTAGTGTGTATCTGGAAGATTTAGAGAACATGAAATGTGAATTGGATTCATTCTACAGTACTTACTGTTCTCACTTTACGAAAACTTCTAAAGGAACTGATTATATCAAACTGTATTTTAATGTTAATTAGCAAAACATGAGAATGAGACATTATATAAAAATACGCTACAATTCAGAGTACAATTTGAAGATAGACTGTAAACAATTAGAGCAAGAAGATGTGAAAGAGAGCAAACTGATTGAATATATTCGCTGGAAACGTTTTGGTCAATTGAGACTAAAGCTAGTAACCATCTTACGAGAATTCTACCTCAGTATAGATAAACGCAGTCTACAGGACACAAGATCAAGAAGGAGAGTAGATGTGGGTTCACATCTTTCACTGTCTACTGCAAGGAAACTAACTTCACAATCAAGTTGAAAGCCTTCAAAGAAGTTGGTGATAGATGACACAGTTCAAGTTCAACACCCTGAAGGACGAAACTACAAACGGCATCTTCGTGTCAACCAGTCATCAGGACAAAATGGGAGATATTTAGCAACATCCCTGAAGAAACATGCATGGAAGGACTCTGAAACTCTTTGAAAGGGACGTGGAAGGAAACCTGTATAACCGTGTCAGGAAGGATAAAAGAAGAAACAACACAAGAAATGGATCTCGACGGACACATGGAAACTGATAGAGAAGGGAGAGGAAGATGGTGATGGGGAAGCAGAAGATAAACCAGTGCAGTGTAAGGAAAGAGGAACTGAACATAACCTGTAAAACACTACACTGGACAAAGAAATGAAGAAGAGTGCGTACAAAGACAAAATACACTCATACGACACACTCGTAACTGAAGCAGAATAGACTGCAGGCACGACAGACAGAGACCTGACAACACTATACAAAATAACCACATTACTATATATCTGGGAAGACATCAACACAACACAGATGAAACCAATGAAAGATAGTGAAGGAAACTTAGTTACCACGAAAGAGGAGAAACAAAGGAAACGAAACCATGCATTGACCACTTCAAAAACTCTTGAATCGACCACCACAACCAGCACCACCAGCACCACCTGCAACTCGTTCAGAAATACCACCAGCAACCCAGTCACAGAATTACCAGTGAACACGAGCCTGCCGACAAAAGCAGAATGGGAGTCGTGAACACCACACCATAAAGTTACTGAAATCTGGGGTGGCAGCAAGACTAGATGGAATTCCACCAGAAACACTGAAAACAGATGCAGAGACAAGAGCGGACATACTCACACCACACGACTGTTGCAGAAGATTTGGAATGCAGGAAGGAAGGCAAGGTACCTGCCAGTTGATTGAAAGGAGGGCTACTTTGT